TTAAACTCTGTCTTCTCAAAGCCAGATTTAGTGATAAGTGTTAATCATTCCTTTCCATGATGTTATCCCTCCATTTTTGTGTTTATTTTGTTGCTGAATTTTTCATTTTGCCTCCAATTTTCCACTTCAAATGTTAGCTTTCAAAGAGAAGGCTTACTTTATCATGATGTTTCTAATGCACAGAAGAGGTTGCGGAGCTAACCTATGTGTTTGGAACCTCAGTACAAGCAGTAAATAATAAGAGTGACTACCTTATACTAAGTGGTTATGGGAAACTTGACTATGTGCAAGTTCAGTGTTAGTGCATATTTAATCATAGAATCAGAGAATGGCATAGGCTGATGAATCTCATGAATCCACATTAAAGCTAAAATTACAGTTGCATTTTCTAAAACTGTCATAACATGACTGTCTCTTAGGCAGTGGTAGTTTTAAATTGGTTGAATTACACACTTAATTTTCATATCAAATATTTTCCAGCTAAGAATATGAAAGCAATTACCTATTTTCGTACAGATTTTTTTTTCCCTCTGGGTGCATGACCATCGCCGATGCATCTTGCTCTTGGCAGGCTGTTTTTATAGTCTACTGCTATCGCTAAATTTATTTTCACATCTATGAAGACAGAAATTAAAAAGGACAAACTTTCAAAAAGAAACTGTGTTTAAAAACAAAAGAAAAACAACGTATGTCTGTTTTGCTCTTTTGAAAGAAGTTAACTTCTCTGGGAAGTGGTTTGCAGGATAATTGCCTCCTAAAGGAGCTCTGCTAAGAACAACCTGACAGTTTATGAAGGCACTGGAGTGTTATACAGCAATGACAGTCATATTAAAAGCAGTAGTGGAAAAATACTCCTTGATACAACAAAACCAAGTGAACTTGCCTAGGAATGGAAAAAAGCAGCATGTAATACAGGTTGTTGCTACCTGTGAGCAACCTCTAAGGATCTGTGGAGGCACAGGGGAGGACTCTGCTGTTACTCATGTGGAACTCAGAAGTACAAGGATCTAACTGAGGGTCTGTAAGAAATGGATCCCTCTGAGCACTTGATCATCGGAATGGCCAAGCTGAATTGCTTCTTTGCTTAAAGTTTATATCTAAGACCATCTCCAAATGACACATATTTGAGCTTAAATTCATAGGGTTTTTGTCTTCTTACACAAACTTGTAAACAAACCAGTGCTAACAGCCACTCACCAGCCTAGATCCGAAGAGATCCGAAGAGAAAAGCAGGTCAGTGTTTTGCCCTCAGAGGGGATTCCTGGGTAACTTGAAGCAGTCAGTTTTCATAGCTGAAGATTTGTTTCCCAGGTGGCTCAGCGGAACTATCAGTTGTTGCCCTTCCAGACAAGCTAAAGGGCTGTCAGCCTGCTCATGCTGTTGCATAAGGAACGGCTAGAAGAGAGAGAAGGCTATGGCTGTCTGTGTGGGTCAGAAGCATATCTCAGTTCACGCTTTTTTGTCCAGCTAGTTGCCTCTTGGTATCAGGATGTCACACTGCAGTACCTGCTGTGGGTCGCAGCAGCTTAAATACAATCCGTGCCTTTGAAAAGACAAGGGTGTGTACATCTCAAACAAGGCATCTTTCTCTGCACAAAGGGCACTCTTTCAAAACAACAAAATCTTTGAAAAGATACTGCTGTCCAAGTAGGACAGGTCTAATCCAAGCTGATTGCTTTTCTATGCTCTGCCTAACAGACAAATGTTAAGAAATAACACAGATAATGAAGACGCTGTCCTTTTTTTTTGATACATGGGCTTTTGAGCATGTGCTCTCGTGTAATTTTGGTATATAAAGCCTATAGCAGCATGGGAAGATAGGACAACGAAAATCTGGTTTGCTGACATACCCTTCCATGCCTGGGAAACAAGGTGAAAATGGAGGGGTAGGATTTTACTGTCAAGTAGGTCTTCTTTGTTAAGGTATAAAAAGAAGTCTTCGCAGTCTGTTCCCTGTCCAAAAAAGAAGTTTCGGCAGTCCTGCAGGACAGGGAGTGGAGGTGCGTTAGCCGACATGTGCTCTCTCCCTGCTTTGAGAAATCTCACCAAATGGTCTCCTATCAATATTAAGCAATGAAGAAAGAAAGCTGTTCCTCAAAAATACACCACCTAGTTCACCCTGCAGCTATCATCCATTCTTGCTGTCCGACAGATCTTTGAAGGGCAGCCCCAAACATGCTGGCAGAATCTCAGAGTGCCAAAGCAACAGCCTGTGGCAAGTTGGACTCAGAGGATGCCAAAGTATCCATTGTAAGCAGAGGATTATGTCTGGCAGTAGTCTGAAACAATCCTGAATGCCTTTGGTTCTAGAGGGACCTGAAATACGGTTGGACTGCCACCAAGTGAGTCACTGGTATGCAGGGCTCACGCGGTTTCCCTTGTCCAGAGGCAGGAAGGTCAGATACCTGCTGGCATCAGTAAATGATTTCTGGGCTCCATCCAGTCATTGCGGTTCAGAATAATTATCTCTCAACTATGTCAGTAATCCAAATCCATCAACAATGATCATACAATCAACTAAGCCATGAAAGCCAAATGAAGGCAAACCAAGTGAAGCTAAAGAGATATTTTTCTGTTAAACTAATGATATTTTTATAGCAAAATCCAAGTTCTCAGTGGGCAGATAACATGGAACACCTTCAAGCAGAAGAACTAGAAAGAAAAGTCCTATCTGGAAGGTGCAGGACAATTGGGGCCTGATCAGTAGAACTAGTAGTGCACAGAAGGAAAGAAGAAAAATTGACATCCAGGCCTTCATGATCCGGTTGAGGTAAAAAATCAGGTTCTTATTAGCTAGGAAACAAAATTGGGAAAGCCCCAGAAGCAGGATTTTCATGTGCTAATGATGGTGGCAAGTCCCAAAAGGAAATGTCTTGAGTCGGACTTTGCAAGAAAAGCGTTAAAGGTAGGTATTAACATTGGTGACTACTTAAAAGCAAGAGAAATAGACTTTTAACTGTTCCAAAAACAAATCATACTTGCTGTGCAACTAAGATAAGTGGATGGATGAACAAACATCGGCTATGCTGTAGGTTGAGCATATCTCCATGGAAACTAAGTCATCTTCTGAACTTAAAGCATGTTCTGCATGATAATTCAAAATTTAAAGTAGTGGGATAGATTTTTTCCCCCATGTAATACATATGTGCCAAGTCCTACTACAGAATGGAAGTATGACCACCCACACAAGGTAAGATTTTTCTGGGACAATGTTGGGAGAAACAAACAACAAAGGGAAGCAAGAACAAGTAGGAAAAGATTTGGGGGACTATTTGGCTAATCATATAGCCCCTTTCCCTTTGGTCTTGGGCAACTTAGACAAAATTTTTGTGGATGTTGGGGCAATGGTTTTGCTGAACTCTAGGTAGGCAGAACATTAATACAAGTGCAAGTGGAAGCTGCTCGCCACTTCTAGCAAGCTGGAAGACAGAAACTTAATAGAGAGACTACAAAGAGTTGAGTCTCATGTTGTTAAAAAAACAGTGCGACTCAAGCCAGCCTACTGAGTTTAAGAAATCGGTTCTGAATCCCTTATACTTGTGCTCAGTTGCTTAATTAGAGTTAAAGAACAAATGAACTTGGCATTCAGTAGTCCCAATGCTAACTGGAGGACAGTCTAAACTGTGCTCTCCTCCCAGTGCCCAACTGCCAGACCCTGCTTGTGGTAAGCAGAGGTAGAAAAGTGGAGGTGCTGTAAGCTACATCATCAGAAATGAGGTGTGTTTTGGGCTGTATGGGAGGAGCTTCACACACAGAGAATCCTCAGGTAAATCACAAGCCTTACTTTCGCACCCTCTCAAATAAATTCCTTAAAATTAAGAACCCCTTTTTTTATCAGATCTTTTGTGCTGTGACTCTTGCAGGGAAGTAAATGCACCTTCCTGTATACTGGCCTGTCTGAAATCCATCCGAGTAAATAGCTTTGATGGGATTTATTGCTTGAGCTGTACAGGGTGACATGCATCCCATCTGCTGAGCTTTACATTCAAACGCTCTAAACTCTGGAACAGAAACACATACCGTGCGTGCTGCACACACAGGCACCTGCAGCTACAACACTGAATTTTAGGGAGAGGATAGGCACAGTCTCATCAGGTAACCTGAGCTCATCCATCAGTAGAGTACAATGTGCCCTTCTGTTATATCTCTTCAATGTCATGAATCTGGGCTCTTTGCTGATTTAGGGATTCAGTTTTATGTTTTTACAACCAGTGAGAAAACATCCCTACTGTATAAAAGGAAATGTATCTTTTGTTCTCAAAAGTGTCACATTGATGGCTCATGTCAAGGGTTTTATAAGCAGGAAAAAGGCTCCTGTCTTCTCCAAACAATTCACCTGCGTACCTCTGCCACAGGCTCTGAAAGGAAAGAAGCAGGTCAGGTCCTACTGAAACATTCAAGCTCAGCTTCTCTGCAGAACATGCAAGAAGGGCAGGTGCCAGCAAAGAGGTCTGCATGCAAAATAGTAACTTAGGACCTGCAGGCTGATTTGGAACGGAACGTTACCCAACAGTCCCCAGTTTCTGCTGATACTGTGCTGAAAATTAATGCGTGAGACATTGCATGTTTTCTTACCAAAGCCAGCAGCAAAGTTTCCCAGTGCTCAAAAATTAGGAGAGTGGGATCACATGCAGGCTGTAAGTTAAGATTTTTAAGTCCTTTGAAAAATGGTTAGAACTGCTTTGACACTGAGAGATCCTTGTGCAGTGGCACGCTTGGAGCCAGGGCTGAACAGCTGAGTGGGGGAAGGGACCAGAGCATTAAATAAAGCTACTTGTTGACCGCCTGTAAAATTGGCTTCTAAAGGGAGTGCTGCAGAGCACCATTCATTACCAAGTGACAGAGGCTCATTTTCAGCTACTCTGGACAGTATCATAATGAAACTCTGCATGTTCCTGTTCAGTATGGTTGGTTATGAATTACTCAGATTAATATTTACAAAAAGGATAGTTCTCTCCCGTGCCACCTTAACCCTGAACTGTTTTTCTCTTTCCTTCCAGATGCTGGAGAGCTCTTCAGTCCTTTTGTTCATTGTCCTGCTTTTCATTCTCCTGTTCTTTGTGGTGCTCATCAGGAGAAACCCCATCATAGCCCTTCTCTGGAATGAAATAATCCGGGAGAAAATAATCAATTTCGTCATGAATCAGAGCAAAGAACAGAGGATTTTAAATTTTGTGCTGCAGAATGCAGTCCGAGGAGACCCCTGTAGCGTGCTGGATACTATAGATAAGTACTGTTCCCAGAAAGAGTGGGCCATGAATGTGGGCCATGAGAAAGGTAATTGCAGCAGGGATCAGCACTTGAAAGATCCTTCAAGACTAACATAGTACGGGACACCTTACTGTATTCACATGGTAATTTCCATCTGCTACTGCTGTAAAAAAAAAAATCCGCAACAGCCTTGTGGTCTGCAGAGTAGCTCCCTAAAGATTCATGTGTGCTTGTGCAGATGTCCTCAAGGAGGTGTATCCAGTGAGTAATTCAGGAAGTCCTAGGACCAAATCTGTGTTTGTATGTTGTATACATTGCAAGTGTGTAAGCGGAGGGTGACAATTTATGGGAAAAATCTAGGGTTGCATTATACCTCAGTTCATGTGGCCTTAAGGCACAGCTCATTATATTAAGTACTTTCAGATCCTTAACAGAAAGTTAGTAAATTGGAGGAAAGAAAAGTATTTTAAACTATATGGATTTTGTATATGCAAGTGTAAGTTACAAGCTGCTGTTGAGAACAGAAATCCTACCCCTGTAGTACCCCAAAGCAGCTAGCAGATATTCTTGCTACTTAGAGAGTATACCATCTTGTTCTTACTTCCTAAAGGAAAATACGTGGACAAAACATTTTTTCCTTGGCTGCAGGAAAGTGACAATCCTTTCAAAAAACTGTAATGGCAAAATGTTACCATGTTCCCTTATGAATTAGACACAAAAGCACCTCTTGCTGAGAAGTTGCAGGGGAAATTTTCTTCGTCTGGGATTAATATAGCTAATGAACTACAACTGTAAGCATTGTAGTAAAAATGCTTCTCTGCCATGGGTACATTTCATGAAACTAGCTCCTCTGCATACAGGCTGGGGTGCTTGGGGCAACACAACAGCAGGTGGTGACTGAGCAGCAAGTTTTAAAGCTCTAAACTTTGATCACTCGAGATTATATTCTCAAAAATTTCACTCTAGTTTTGCTCTGACAGTATGACCTTTCCTCAGATAAAAGCCAACAAAGTTAATGCATCTTTAGTTCCTAAGATTTGGAGAGTGACCACATGATCTCAAGATGTTCATCACACTATTCATAACCAAACGACACCCAGGAATATGTCATGTAATGACAAGTATGTGTACACTCATGGCTCAGAGAAGAATGCCTTCAAATATTTTTTCAGATATGTTACCAAGTTTCTAGCCGTACAAGTAAGAGGAGAGTTTTCTCACAAATAAATCCTTTTCTTCAGGACTGAATATATTACTCTGTCATTTCTTTTGGGGAATATTATTTTGCTGGCAACAATTGACTAACATTTTCTGTCCCACAAATTCATCTCATGAATCCAAATATTTTGCAATTTTATGACTAGACTTTTCTTTTTCCCTTTAAAAATAAGTATTTAGTGTGAGAAATTTTGTATCAGACTACTGCATGTAACATTTGCAACTAATACGAGCACTCAAAATTCAGGAGTTTTGTATTTCACAAATACAGTGAGGTTTTGCAATAAATTCTTGGGGAAAACCACAGCATTTTCAGTTAATTCAGTCACTGCCTTATTCTGAGCTGTTTATATTGTGAAACTAAGTAAGATTTTTTTAGTTGAAAGTTTGCATTTTGAAATTTTAGGATGTCCATGATCAACTTAATCACAGATAAACCAATCTGCAAAGGAAACAATATATAATTTGGCATCGACCCTTAATTTTTGAATGTCCTGAGCAACCGAGTACACAGACTTTCTCAGTTTCTTGTCACTAACTTGCTCTTCTGTATGTTGAACTAGTTTGATATTGTTAATAGTTAACTATTTCCATTTTATTCAGGTTTAATTCTAGACAAGACAGTGGAAGAGGTCAATCCATCAGTTGCACTGGAGCTGGGAACATACTGTGGCTACTCAGCAGTTCGGATTGGTCGGCTACTGAAGGCAGGAGCTCGTCTTCTCACTGTGGAGTTCAACCCAGAATTTGCTGCTATAGCTAAACAGATGATTGAGTTTGCTGGAGTACAAGATAAGGTAAATACCATTTGTCTTTGGCTGGTGTGAGGGAGCAATACATGGAGAGTGGGGCTTTATCCATAAAAACTATAATAATAGGACTTGTGAAGCAAGTACAACACCTTAAGTGTTTGGGAACATGCCGAGTTTAACCATCAGGCTGGGTAGCAGGGAAAAGCTACCAGTGTCCATGCAGAGAACCAAAGTTGTCTGTTCTTTTTAGATATAGTGCGAGTGAACTAAATCTGTTAGCGTTAGTCAGGGGTCTAAGTACAACGCAGACCCAACTGAGAGTCAGGGTAGAGTTTGAAGCTTGACCAGATGTGTGTGTGACTAAAACAATCAGGGCCGTTCTCCAAAGTTCTTCCCTGTGTGAGTCAGGATGAAGATTCGTGGGGGCAAGACCAGAAACAATCATATACATCCACACCTCCTTAACACTTTGAAAGCATTTAGACTTCATCTTCCAGTTTGGCCTCTACTGGTTAGTAGAGCATCCAGGCCATTTGCTGAGAGCTATTTTCAAAACCCATAGTGACTTTAAGAATAACACAGGCCTGAACAAAGGCTCCAGAGTCAAGTTATTTCACTTTTTATACTCACGGGACATCAGCGGACACAGTCATTTTCATAAAATTAGTAACCGCTATTGCAAAACTGGTTAGGTTTACTGTCATGATTACTGCAAGACTGCCCCACAATTCCTCCTCCTGATAATCAGAAGCCTTTCTATGATTTCCATCTAACATTTATTCATAGACATTTTGTATTTTTTTTCTTGCACCCACAGTCCTCACTAATTTAACTAGCTCTGTGCCTAGTTACAGTCCCTGACCTCTTACAGCAGTTCAGCTGAGGACTTTACTAGCTAGACTAGAATATTGGTTTTCTCTATATAAATTAATTCAAATCACTGTTAAGACTGACTACAACCCAAAACTGAACTATAGTTTATTACAAAAGCTCACATGAAGCAGGTTCGTTATGTGCAGTGGACTTCCGATGAAATGTACTTACCCAGATCTAGATGGCCACACCCAAATTTTGTGCAGTCTGAGGTTTCTTGACTCTCAGTACAGTTGGGTGAGATGCAGGTATTTCCAGTCTATAATCCTTCTCAGCCCAAGGCAGACATCTACAGCGGGTCAGGGGATGTACGCTTGAGAAGTGCTTGTCTATTCAACTAGACAACTCACTTCATTGTAGATGATAAAACCAGAAGAAAATAAATCCCACCATGAGATCTTCTAATGCGTTTCTGAACTCCTTGCAGAGAACCTGAAGTACTAGTGACATTTAAAATGGCATTTTCCCCATCTGGTTTAATCTCCTGATGAGCTATGAGTCATAAACCAGACAGATTTCCTTACCACGTTTTCCCTCCACTCACAGTATATGGTGTTTGCTTAACAAATCAATGTGCAGCAGCCTCTTTCAGTTTAACAGTACTTACTTACGCCAATAAACCCGTGAGGAAGATGTAACAGCCTCTGTCCTGCCTCCTTCTTCTGCTAGCCATATCGACTTTACATACTGTATCTTCCAGCTTTATTCTAAGCTAACCCGTTCTCTGTATTATTTGCTTCCCTTGGACTACAAGATTTAACTGAGATATAACTAAAAAAGTAATTAAAAATACAGTTTTCAACAGGAGATTCCCATATTTCCAGTAAAGAATCGTGTTATCAAACAGAAAAAACAGGTCACTGTTTCTGCTATTATTATTTAAAAAAACTCCCAAACAAACCAACAACAAAACCAAACAAAAACCCCACCATGCAAAACCTCACTCAAACCCGTATTTTGGAAGCTAACTGACTTGATTTGCCAAGAAGAAAAAGAGTATACTTGATCTAACTCTATGAAACAATGCAACTGAGACAATATTGTGCTATAAACAAGATCACCGATACCTGGCCACAGTTTAAAATGAGTGAGAGGCACGTGCTTTTTCTCAGTGGTTCATAATTCATCAGATGGATTTGCATTTCAGGTTAAAATCCTGGAAGGCCCTTCCGAGGAAATTATTCCCCAGCTGAAGAAAAAATTTGAAGTGGATACAGTGGATTTTGTCTTCCTGGACCATTGGAAAGACAGATACACACCAGACACCATCCTGATTCAGGTCAGTTTGCACAATTCCTGTCTTAAAAGTAAAGGAGCAAATGTCTTGATGTCTGTGGGGCCTATATACTTTATGAAGGACCTCATCCTGTGTAAAATGAAGAATGTCACCCAAAATAGCAACCTTACAAGAAAAGATTTGGGGAACAGGACCTCAAACTTTTGTCAGGGCCACCTGCGGACACTACGTAGCTCAGGATCTTGGCAAATACCATTTTGTTTCCTGAACAAATGGGTCTGCAGTAGGAATCCCAGCTGGAGGAGTGCATGGCTTGGGTCTTAGCCCTAGAAGGAGTGTCTGCATGGTCACTAACCAGAAGACTTGACCCAAAAGCACCAGGATCCTGGGAGCAGGTGACACTTAGGATCTGCATATCCCAGCTCCACCTCTCCTCCTCAGTATCCCTTTTCTTCACCTGGGTCTGTGGTGCCAGCAGAGCCTTTTGAGGAAATACGATTTTGGCATCCCAGCTGGGTATCATCTGCAAAGCAACCTTCGGAGGAGTACGCACTGCCCCAGGGAGGCACTTGGTAGGGAAGTGCTGTCCAACTCTGTCTCAGCCCCAGATATGGAAAAATTTGTCTGTTTCTTCCCAACCTGCCTTAACCCTTATTGTTAGCATTACAAAACAATACGGCTCTCTCAGCAGTAGGCAATGATAGGTGACTTTTGGACAGGAAGGCATTGTCAAGTGTTAAATAACTGAGATTCACAACATCTGTATCAACACATCATACACAGCATCAGAGCTGCAGGCTGGTAAATTTTTCTACAACTGCCTAACTCTTTGTATGAAAATGGCATTTTTCTGTTATTTTCTTCACAAATAAAGCCACGTTTTTTGAAGTTGCCTCTTACACTGAGAACCTGCCAAGTACTTCCCGACCCCTGCTTGAGGACTACAACATCATTTTCTCATCCAGGCTCCCTTAGTTTTTAATTTCAGTTCTGTCCACCAGAGAGCTGTTCAGAAAGGAAATTTGTTTGGGGTTATGAACAGCCAGTATTGAATTCACACAGCAGTAGCTGAAGAAAATGTTTCCTCCCTACAGTTATTTTGTACCCAGAGAATGTTTTCTTTTAAACTGGCTGTGTAAGGATGACTGAGCACTTTCCAAGGGGAAGAGCTAGAGCATCCTTACCGGAGCTTAACCTTCGCAACACAGCCAAAACAAACAGGTAGTTCGGTTCCATTGTAGTGGTCAGTCTGATGCAACTGTGACATAAAATCGCTTTGCTTAAAATAAACACCTATGAAATGAAGAGGAGAAACATCAAGGAAAGATCCCCACGTTTTCTCAGATGTTACAAACCTTCTGACCTGCAATTTTCACATGTATTGCAATACGAATAGTGAATGTAAAAAAATAATTTAAAATATACAGATGAAATGTATATTGAAGGTGGCCCAGACAGTGTTCCTTTCCATATATTTCTAGAAAAGCCTGACACTGAAATCCTCAGGACCAGTGGAAAATAGAGCATATTGTCACTTGTTGGCTTCTATAAACTGCACAATAGACCAGAAGATATTTGCCAAGTCTCTAAAATTGCTTCTGTTGTGCTGTCTGGTGTTTGCTCACCAGACACAAGAGCAACTTCTACTAAACAAAAATACTAGTAAAAATTAGGGGTTTAGGTTTACTGAGAATAAATATAGCACTTGAAGTGAATATTGCAAGTTAATTATGCCCTCTGGAAATCTGTCGGATTGATCTTCGTTGTGCACAAGCCCTGAACTTTATGCCCAGCTCCTGAACAAGAAGAAAGGAAAACAAGCACAGAAAATTTCTTTCATTCATTTAGCGGTTTTCGAGTTTGACTGAGACTGTCAAAGCAGACTGGTACACGCCGGTCTCTCAGGCAACCTTAAAGGCTACTACAACATTTTAATGTGATACTAAAAAAGTTTTCAAACACTAGGAATGAAAACCAAAATAAAACCATCGTACTGATCCTGTAGACGCTGGAAACAATCGGAACAGCAAACGGCACACCCCCACTGCACTTGATTGCTATTTCAGAACCTCAGTGACTTATAAGCGTCTCTTATGCTCTACTGACTATGTTAACAGAAAAAGTCAGCATATTAAACATGACCAGAAAGGATCAGAGAGCTACTCAGCCTCTCCCATGTCTTTTCTTCCCTCCAAATCCATAGTACAAGGGGTGTTTGGATGCAGGCACTTGAGTATAGCAGGGTTGACATGAAAGCACATTACATGCAAGGCAATGTCTGCTTAACAGCCACCATGAAGCAATTTCTCTTCTTTCTAGGAATGCAACTTGCTGAGGAAGGGCTCGGTTTTCCTGGCTGACAATGTCATCGTCCCAGGAGCTCCAGAATTCCTTAACTATATCCGCAACAATCCCCGTTTCCAATGCACTAACTACCCATCTCATCTGGAATATATGAAAGTGGAGGATGCTATGGAAAAGGCTGTGTTTTTGGGATAAAGAGAGTCGTTAATACTCAACCTTTGTTTCAAATGACATAAATGCAACTGCACAGATTAACTTGTCCATGCTTTAAATTTTGTGGAGTTTTTTTTGTATTTTGGAGTCTGTGATTAAAGCAAGCGCTAGTGGAGCTCATTTTAGACCGGTAGAAACCAAGGTCGGGAGTAAATAGGGTAATTGCTCAAAGGTCTGTTCCACAGTTTCACATAATTCAGCAAACCCAAGGTGGTGCACATTGCCTTGCCTTACCTAACAAACACATCGTCGAACAACAGTCTGCTATTTGGAGTTCAAAGGAACAACCACAGTTTGAGCTTAGAGTGGGGTGGAGAAAGTTGCTGCAACTTCTGAAGATTTGTATCCCCAAGCTGAACTGATTGTTACCAAGAGTGGAAAAAAGCATGCATGTTACAAGAAAAGACTGCTGCTGGAGCCCTGATGTTGCTACGGTACTAGCGTGCCAGTAAAGCAGTAAAGGCTCCTATTGTGGATATCAGATACATTTTTGCGTAGTTACTGCAAAAGTTAATCATCTCTACGCTAGAGAAATGCGTGTGCACTGAAAGAAGACTGACTCCTGCAGTGATGGAAAAATAAACCAGAATTTTGCAGATGACAAACATATAAAATTATTAATCCGCCCATGCAGTGAGGCAGGGAAAACTAATAGTAAACAGATGGAAATAAACATAGTAACAGGCTGGTAACAACAGGAGCAGCCTCTTAACACCAAAACTACGTAATACTAGAGACCTTGAAAAACGCTGTTTATACTCTCATATTTACTTATCCCCTCCTTGTATTGTCTAAACCTAGTTTGTGCTTTTTAGGGGCAGGGCAAGCTGATTACTCTGAAGTGCTGTGTATGTTTTAAGATGCTGTATAAAAATAAAGACCAGAGAGAATGGGTTTTGCCAGGCGCGTCCCGCACACCTCGGTTAACCTCAGTGTTGTTACCACGATGTGAACAGAAACGGTTATCTCGGAGAAGATACCAAGCCAAGTCTGAGGTCTTTAACTCACCTGAACAATGCAAAAATCCACTGGCATTTCCTGGCATGTTCTATTGTGATTATATAAGAACCAATGGCCGCATTTATAAATAAAAACTAAAACCCAACAGAGCAGGCACGTGACTTCCTTTGTTTTCCATGAATTCTGCACTGCACTTGGGATTTCCAGCCTTGGAACAGCCACAGAAAGGTCCAACAGTTGAAAATCAGGAATAACCAAAATTCAACAGCTGAAAATTAGAGTGAAAATGAGGTATAACTATTCTCATCTTTCCCAGTTTGGATTCTTTCAGACCTGTTATCAGCTTCTTCCTTATATATCCTACCTTACTGAAGTGGTATCTACCCTGGCACGTGTGCTACAGAAAATCCACTTCCCGAACACCAGTCATGAGCACAGCAGAGAACAGCCTCACAGTACAGAGGGAAACTAGAACAGCCTGAAGGGACAAGTCAGTTTAGAAATGGACCAAGCAAACCATGGTGGCCCAGCCAGCTTGTAATGTGTGCATTTCAGGGGGCTGTAAGACAGCAACATTATCAGCATTTCTTTAGCAATTTAAAGTCTGTCACGTTGAGAAAGACACGAGGTTTATTATACTGCATTAGATTATGCAGAAGCAGACCTCGAGTTCTAAGCCTTTCCTCTTACACTGTGAATAAATCAATGATTTATTCTGCAAGCCTGCTTAGCAGCACGTCCTCTTGGTATTCAGGCTCAACTCAAAGTCACTGCGCCAAAGTCCTTGAAGCGATTCCAAGCAAATATTGCAAAATTTGCAAAAGAAAACAATCCTGAAGCCCATTGATTGGCATACAAATTTCTAGAGGACAGTGGAAAATATGGATACATACAGTCGACCGGAATTTTTTTCTGTACACCTAAGGTCATGACTCCAAAGAATCTTCTTTTGTTTCTAGCTCTAGACACCTTTGCACTTAAACAGATGCCCCTGCCATAGCAGGGCACTTAACACATCCTGATAAACAAACAATATGCTGAAGGATGCCTAAGAATAAACAGGTAGGACTGTTCTGCACTTTACAAGAAAGGATCAGAAAAATACATCCCTACTGCTAGTTAATGGCCAAAATTACCATTTGAGAGACTGTCAAGAAAATCAGGGAAGGAAAGAATCTGTAGTTAGCATGGATATTTAAAAAGATGCATTAGTGAATAATGCATGTGTAATGTATGTGCAAATATAAGAACCACCTTTAAGTATAAAAAATGGTACTTTAATTCATTAGAAAGGATCTCCCACATGGTACATTGTAAAAATAAACAGGCTGTGTATCACCAGAGTATTTACAGAATTCCATACTCAAGAATTTTTTTTCTACTTGACCATGCATCTGAAATGCTCTTAATTATTGGTTGCAAGAGATGAAAAGGAAAAATCCTGACTCGGTTTGCATGACTGACAATGAGAATAAAGTTTTTGGTCAGTTGAGCAAATACGATCTGGAGTCACTGACACATAAATGCGAAATCTCCCAGGAAGAAGAGTTACTTTTCAATATAAAGTCAATGTTTTGAATTCTGAGAGAAGCAAAACGTAGACAATGGATCTTTTAATCCAAATGTATTCTAAAAACCTACTAAGTGTTCCTGCAACATCACCCCATTGCAATTACAAGACACAACCTATTCTTGTACAGAACAGGTATGGAACTGCACACCAGGAAGCGTGTGTTTGAAGACTGCCCACTGAGAGCGTAACACTGACAGAAAGCTCCCGATGGGAAGCACTTCCCTAAAACAACACACAGCTTTCAGCAAGCGTCACAAGTGACCCATCCCGCCACATACGCGTAATTGAGATCTATTCTCCAAATGACAGCTGCTCTCTAGGCTGTCTTAGTGATTCAGGCAACACATGAAAGTGAGGTCTGGTTTCTGCCAGAGCCTCTCTGTTACCTCACACGGACATGATGTTGTCTTTCAGTCAGGGTACAAGAGAGGAGATTTATGAGGAAGTCAAACTAGTCCCTTTCACTTCCTAATTTAATACCAAATTGAGCATAACGGAACATGTACGTAGCAATCCTGACAGCAGAACCTAACTGGAGCAAACCAGTCATCAGACGTTTGTACAGGAGCCGGTGCTTCCTCCTACTGGTGTAAGGAAGTGAAGCAACGCACTGAAGAATTCTGAGCAATGGGTCAAACATCGGATGCAGTGAAAAGCACATACAGGAGCCCTACAAGAGCAGCACGAGAGCACTGAGATCCCAACTCTTCTTCCAACACCAGGGCAGCCATGTGTGCTTATCTGGTTGAGCAGTCAATCAATTAGGAATCAATTATAAGGTATGTTATGAATAACAGCTAGCTATGTTTGCTGTGCATGCACATTAAACATAATAAAGGACTTTTAGCCTTCACCAGCTCAGTTAATGGTCCCCTTATGAAATAACTTCCCCTTGTAAAAAATCGCCTCTGTCAGCTCATACCAGAGAGATTCTCCCATTGCTGTGCTTCAGTCACACAGAGAGCTTCACAGTAAGACACGGGGCAAGAGACCCATGAGGACAGAATATTCCCCCAAGACACTGCTGAAACCTGAACCAGATGAGGGCTGGGATATTTCTTGCCCGTTGTTACCAGGTTAACCTTTCACCTGCGGGACTCACGGCTTCCATCTGTGCAACCTGTGATAAGCTGGAAATGAAATCACTTTGACAGCCATAAAAGGTCAGTTTAGAAACAACGTATTTGTTTTAGCTCAGTACCGTACCTACAGCATCTGCTATTCGTTGCCACGTTAGTGCATCCGCAAAGAAAAAAAAAATCAAAATTCCTCACTGCAGCAGAACATCAATGATACCCAGGAGCAAGATGCTAAGCGCAGGAGCCCCTATCTTACCACAGCACTTGTGAAATCAGATCCTCCAGCTGCAAGAAAAAAATCTGGAGATGGTTTTACAAAACTCCTGGGGATGCATTCAGGACATCTGAAAGAAGGAGGGTAGGCAAGCTGAACGTGACTTCCAAGCGCTGTTTTCAAGCATTCACAAGTAAATGAAACCTTATAGCGCTGTGAATGCTACAATCAGGCATAAACATATGCCATGACCTCTTCACTCGCAGAAAACCTGACCTCCATTCTATCTGTAAGACTCTACGTAGTGCTCATGTCAAGATTTACTGGGTTTTGTCACGCTTCATCAAAGTGTGGAGTAAGACTGACGTGTTCAGGTGCATCAATCTCCCTGCTGATCTTATCAACACAGATGAACGTGCCAGGGACAGGCAGTCCTCAAGAGAATTAAGAGCTGTTGTAACTGACTGTTACTTGAAATACATGGCTGACTTTTCAGTATCAGGATCTTTCCCACATAGCAACAAATGTAAATTATTTGGCGCATCCCCAAAATAACAGTTTCTCATGTCAATCAAATCTCATACATAACTATAATAAAGATTTTGTGTTATTCTTACACATTTATATTTATGAGAATACTTGCTCACATTTCAGAAATGTGAAATCTTTGTGAAATTACATGGATTTTATGACTGAACTGGGAACGAGTAATAACTTCCCAAATGGAAAAAAAATCAGCAAGTTAGGCTTGTGGTCCCAAATGGGCAGCTCCTGGAACAGTGACACAGATGTCTTTCCCACAGAAATATGTCTGTATATTAAAAAGGAAAAAAACCAAAACACGATCTACAATCCAGGGTCCTTAGGGGACTTTGTGCTACAACTGCAGCATATGGCAATGAATCAGAATTTTTCAGCTATACTAGTTTAAAGTATATTCCAATTGTCCACATCGCTGCCAACCTTTTACTAACACTGAGCGCTGGCCTGACCTACGGTTGAGTAATCCCTTACCACAGAAAACTGCTAGTGCAAAGCCAAGAATATTGGAGATACCTGATGTAACAAAAAGATAACCAATGGCACATGTATTCTTTCCAGGCATGGTTTATTGAAAACACACCAAATTGTTATCCTACATACCTGGTTTCTAACAAGCATTCTACTTGTCTGCATTATGGAAAGATCCTATAGTAATAATACATTCTGTC